ATATATATATATATATATTATATAATTATATGTTACAAATGAAAGCTAAAACTGTTTAATTGATAGGAAAATTATTAGAGCCTAACTATCGTCGTGTACTCGTAGACGTGGATATATCCTTTGGTATCCTGTTTGAACGATATGATTCCGGTAGATCCCCGTAGACAAATTGAATATGAATTTCCGATTGTTCAGGAAAACTTCAATAGCTGGGAAAATAATACAAAATGTGAAAGAAATGATATTGCGAACGATGAATTTTCTCTATTTATGACGTCACCGAGATTAGCCATGATGCCACGTACAATTATCGATACGAGGATCGTTGTCGTTGGAGGATCGGACTGTGGAATTGCTTTCGCAGAGTATCTGGCTTTACGGTAAAATGTTTTCAACTATAACACCTGCAGCATGTTGCGTGTTGATGATACGAAGTTTACCAAATGATATATTTCTTTATATGATAATGTAACGTTTCAAAAATATCCAAGGAAAATATCCATAATAAAGTATATATCCATAATATATACTTTTTTTTCTTCTAATTATTTTCAATATTAAATAGATTAACGCAGCGTTATATACAATTGACAAATCTTACGTTAATATCGCCACATGGTATACCATTTGATAACGAATCGAGTCGTTCAGATTGTTGCGAGTACTTGCTTCCATTCAGAGGAAAGTTTCACTCAGGATATCGTCGCTATGTAGTCGCACGGACTTGGCTTAACACCATCTACGGAACTATGGCAGCGATCAACAGGTAGTCTTTCATATGTTGACATACGACGCTATCCATCAACAATTTTAATAATTCGAATTAATCCAGCAATGTTGACGAGATGACAATCGATTTGAATTTTCTTACGTTAGGAAGGAGAAATATGTAACTGTGATGAATCAAGGAAATTTCGCGTACGATTATTTGGTTTTAACGTGTGGCTTACAGTATCAAAACTCGACATTATGGGAAAAAATAAAAATGAAAAAGCAAAAGTAAAGATTGTTTATAATATATTATAGTATATGTATAATAGGTATATATAATGCAGTCCGTAATATAAATCACTCTGAACACTTCATTGCCCGAGAGATGCAAGAGAGTTACACGTACACTATTCTCTTGCAATGAAGTGTTCAGAGTGATTTATATTACGGACTGCATTATGTTTATTTTTCAAGAAAAAACAAGATACAAGACCAAACGCCATGGAATTGTCTGACCGTAAACAACGATAAGGAAGCTTCTACTTGCTTCAGAAAGATTCAATGGTTAACAGAGGATTTTAAAGAAAGGAGTAGGTGCAGCGATTAGTAAAATTGTTACTTTATATTGTTTCAATATTTAACACTCTACAGAAGCGATATTTTTTTACGGACGTAATATCGATTGCTACTGTACACTTGGTGGTTTAATCAAGCTCGGAGTAAAGCCTTCGTGGATCACGTTGATTGAACCGAACTCTTTCAAGTCTTGCAAAACACGCGACCAAGCTTTCTTTCACGATTATGAAGTATGATGTATATATGATTATGTATATATTACGATAAAATAATTCGTACTATTACGATAAAAGAGATATTACAGTAATATTGTGTGTTTACCTATCTAAGGTGAACAAAGCGGTGACAAATGCCATTTTACAAAGTGGAGTTCAAGTTTTTTCCGAATGGACCGTGATCGATTGGAAAACTCTGGAAAACGATGATGCAAAGCTCATGATCAAGAGTATTACGATTGAAAAGGAGGAAGAAAAGAAAAAGTTGACTTGCGACGTTCTTTTCAATTTCTATGAGAAAACGATCGATTTAAACGCATATTTAAGTAAAGGGCGAGAATACATGATCTTACTAATTTCTAATTCATTTTCAATTACATTTAAAATTGCGTTTAATGGATATCGAAAATTCAATTTCTCACATAGATCGGTATTCATAGTCGGTTCTTATTTTAATATCGTATTAAGTCTTAAGTAATGTTTTAAGACGCTAATATGGCCTCTGATTGGCTTATGACATCTTAAGACTTAAGCAACAATCTCAAATATAAGAATTAACTATTAATACCAGCCATAATTTATATCGTTTCAGCATTTTGTCGAGCTGGTCTCATTTTCGATGGTTCATTAGTAATAAACCTGGAATGTCGTACCAACGATCCGTTTATTTTCGCCGCTGGTACCATGACGAAATATTCCCGAAAATTTTATGCCGACATCTGGCAGCACAAATATTACAATAGCATGGAAATTGGAGAGAGAGTTAGTAAAAAAGAGATTTTTTTTTTTTAAGGGGACATATAATATCTTTTTCAAACTCATCTTTTTCAAATTAAACTAATTATTTTTTTATTATCAAACTTATTTGTATACACTTGTATTTCTTTCCATTCCCTACCGGAAGCTCGCTCAAATTTTATGGAAAGTGATTGAAACGGACGTGCAAGTTTTCGAGCAAATATCAGAAAAGAAAGAGAAAATCATGCATTTGACACCATCGACATTCCGTGCACCTATCGTAATTGCTTGCATTTTACCAGGTGATTATCATTACTTGCATGTATGTAAACCCGGAAAAACAATATGGGATAACACGACGAAGATCAATCACAACCATGTGAGTTAACAGTCAAATCGGTTTTTGTATCGAAATGCAAATAACGTTATTAAAAGAGTTTCTTTGATTTTCTCTCTTTCTTTCTCCTTCAATCTGTGCACGACATAAGTCGTTGCATTAACGTTGATTTTATTTCATGTATTTAAATGTATTTGTAACCGGTTCTTGCGAATCTGAAATTGGATATTTTCGCATTCAATTGAATATGTATGACACTGTGGAAAGTATAACCTGCATAAGCAGAAAGGTAGTTCTGAAACTAATTAAACAAACAATACTCAACAATTGCTCTAGAAAAATTTTATGTGTCACACAATATTCGTCTTGTGATTCGGAACAGATGTTACTTCGTCTCAACGACAATTGTTTTTCCAGACATTTCGAACGCAGGACATGATTGTTTTATATGGAAAACACGAGAGCATGTTAAACGAATTGAAATTCCGTTTTCAAGTAAGCACCTAACTGATGATACAGTATTGAAATATTAAAAAGCGATGTCATACATATTTCAGGATTTATCACTTAATATTTGCACGTGTAAATGTCTCTTTTTAAAATAATTTTTCCTCAGAATTCAGAAATCTCAGATTTCTACGCGTATTTTCGCGAACCTTGGGCCGCGATGATTCTCCATGATAGATTCGATTGTCTGCGCGTTGAAAATCGAGCTATTTTGCTGTCACAAACGGTAAGACGGTCACTTGCATTTCAATATCGTATATGTCGAGACTATAAGCATATTTTCTCAATATACAGGACATTTCTTTAGTCGATGATTGCATTGACATGTTAATCGAATCAAAGTGGAAAACGGTGAGTAATTTTACCTACGAGTTTATGAAGAACGTTGTTGTAAATGTATGATTCTTCCGAAAGTAAGGACCAAACATTGATTAATGATAACGACGTGAATAAAAAAACTCAAAGTTCTTTGCGCAGATATCCAAAAAGAATCGAAATTACATCGAATCTAGATATGCTGGCTCGGCTTATCATCAAGAATTGGAGAATAATCTCATGAATTTTCTCGAATTTTACGAGAATGAACTACCTATGTATTGTACTTTGCGTAAACAGCACCAAATGTATATGGACATTGAAGAAAGTCCGTTATATTTTGATCAATAAACTTTTTGCAAATTCTCGTGATGAAGAGACGTAGAGAAAGAGGGATAGAAAGAATTAATATTAGTTATTTAATTATCTCTCCCCCTTCTCTCTCTCTCTCTCTCTCTCTCTCTCTCTCTCTCTCTCTCTCTCTCTCTCTAGCACTATGAAAATGGTGAAGAAGAAGTAAAAAGTATGTCTTAGGTTTGTTGTACAATTTAAAACTGCTTATGCTATTATTACTGCGAGAAGTTTTTTGCGTTAATGCTATAAAAGGAATACGCGGGAAAAAATGTTATATAAATAGATATATTTTATGTAATTGTTATAATTGTATATAAAATATTTTTTATATAATTATATATAATCTTATATGAAAATTGAAGAAAAGAGTGCCTACTTAGCCTCGGCATTCTTGAGATTTTATTTTCGCATCATATTGATCGCATCATTTTTTTATGTATATGGATGAAATGAGTTGCAAGTATCAAAACTTTTCATCTTGTAATCTTAGGAGCTCCGCACAATAAAAGGAACAGGAAACAGAGAATAAGAATTTCAACCTAGAATCAGAAATCATGTATTGTAGAATACACAGTTTCTGATAAGTTGAAATTCTTATTCTCTGTTCTCTGTTTTTCTATTTCTTTTATTGTGAGCCTCTTATAATCATTCTATAAAACGCTAATAATCATTTGGTTAAAATCGTTAATTTTATTGTTGAAAACTGTAATTGGAAAAAACATGTCCACTTAGCCGCGGTCTCTCCTATATGAAATATTTTTTCTCGGGTAGATATAAAAATTTTTACATAATTAGCGCTAAAGTAAAACAAATTTTCTGATCTTATTGAGATCTTCATTGCTATGGAGATTGCGTGTGAATTTATGCGATCGTATCACAGCAAATGCTTCTGAATCAAGCCATGCGTTAATATAGTTGTGCTCGATAAACGACTTCGTTTATCTATTTTTAGTAGACAATTTTATTCGTAGGTCAAGTTTAACGTTTCACCAAGTCGTTTCATAATAGTGCAACAGCTCAATGCGATTCGCAATGTCGCATTGCCTGACATCTGAGTTACAGTCATGAGATATTTGGAAAAGAATCGCGGATCATAACAGAATTCTTTAGGTGATCTCAAAAACTGATAGCATTTTAAATTCATTTTTGTATTTGGATCTTGTATTTCTGTATTTCCTTCCATCGAATTAAATTTAAATGCTGCGTTACGAAATATCGAAGAAACGCACGGAGATAAGATGAATAATTATAAAAGGCTCTCGATACATTCAAGTTTTTCTATCTCGTATAGCACAGAATTTTTATTTCATAAAAGAAAATATCAGTTCGTGATATTCTGTCACATTCGTTTACCGCTCTTTACACATTTAGTATAGCGTGCCAATTTTTTTTCTTTCCCTTTTCCTCTCCTCTTGAATCTTTTCCTTAGATCCACGCACGTGCCATGGTCTGTTTATTGCGAATTGCATTAGTCTTTTTGATTTATTTCACAAATGTGTTGCGGCGTTTTTGAAACTAGTCCAAATTTAAATCTTGACGTTAGGTCACGGTCGTACTATTTTTAACGCTGGCACACCTATCCTACGATATGATCGACTAACTGCTTAAACATTTTTTCCCGAATAAAACGAAACAAAATTTTTCTCAATATCGCAAATAAAGATCGTTCGATAGCTGCACAAATTTGTATATACAAGATGTGTACATAACTATAGCGTCTTTATGAAAAAACTTAACACATGCACTTGATTAGAGTACAGCTTTCACAAATATGGCTCTGGCAACAAGGAGTCATTATGTAAGAGAAGCAGATCTGTGTGCGAGTAAGTGCATTTTAAATTCAGAGTAGCACATGTATTCGTCGCTCTAAATGGCGATATAGAAAATCCATTCGCGGCATGTCATAATGTGAATCATTTTCTTTTATCACTATAATTACCTGTTGTTCCGTTTTATTCCAGACAAACCTTTTTATTAGTAGACAGTATTATCACGCAGTTTGAAATTGCACGTCCGTATTAAACGAAAGAAATAACAGTCACATTTAGACAGGATTGGTAAAGACTAATGTTTTTTTTTTAAGAATAAAAAATATTGTGTTTTTTCTTAAATATGTTTTTAATGCTTCAAATATGCTTCAAACAGTACTATAAAAAAAAACATATTTAAAACATATTAAAAACATCAATTAAGCATGTTTTAAACTGTTTCAAACATATTTAAAATATGTTTTATCAATCCTGCATTTCGAGAATTGAATTTATAGATTTTTTACAACTAAGTTTACAAATGTTGCTTTAATTTAAATATTTCTAAAAAGTATTTGTCATATTTTTTTTTATTTTATTTATAATGCGCACATACCGCATTTTCATTTTCTTTCTTAATGAAATGCAAACACTCATATTTTAATTTTATTTACAATTATTTATTTAATTATAAATAATAATTGCGTCTACTGCAGAATTTAAAAAAAGAAGAAATAAACAGTTTAACGAGTGTTAAAACTTCAATCTACCAAAATTGTCAATATATTATATGTTAAGTCGCATATTCTTGCATTATATTGTATTACATTGTATCTCATTTCTTCATTAGTTGACCTTTTCATTCATTCGGAATACATTTTCTTTTCATAAAGGAAACATGCTGAAGTCTTACCCCGCGCGATATCCTACTAGCGGAGCTAGAACTGGTACTCGAGTGATTCGTTTGACGGTGGATCAGGAAGCAGTTCTTCAAGAGCAATTTAACAGATGGCCAAGAGCACCTCATACTGCGGACATTGTACTCCTCGCAGCTGAAACAGGTCTTTCCGAGGCGGACGTTGAAGTAAGTAAACACATATCAATTACATACTATATTAAAGAAATAAATGTGAGATAATGTGAGATATTTGAATAAACGAATTAGGCGAGTAAGATACATTGATAAAAATACGTTGCAATCCTTGACTTTTGTTCTAGGGATGGTACGCTATCAGATTGGCTCAGTGGCGGAAAGAACAGGGTCTCGGCGGGAATCTGGGCATACACTGATTGTACGAGAGTGCTCGCTATGTGCGCTAAACTCTCGTCTCACTTTTGTACCTGAAACTCTTATACGTATACAGACAGATGTAATGGGTCGATAGCAAATTATGAGCAATATACTTCTTTCCTTTAAACTCATTGATCTTATGTCCGTATTCATAGTCAGACTTTATATTTAAGATTTCCTTAAGTTTATCTTTAGATGCTCAGTGATCAATAAAATAATTCATAGAGCATCTGAAGATAAATTTAAGGAAGACTTAAATATAAGGCCTGATTATGAATATGAATATTAGTCTAAATTTCAATGTATTCATAAAAATTTTATTATTTATTGTAAATGTGTAACAAAAAAAATGACGTTTGCGTAAAAAATAAATTACTAATTGTATGAACGCGTAACATATTTATACATAATATATTCGAGACATTGAAAATAATTACAATTTTCAACATTTACTAAGTAAAGAAAAATTACACAAATCATAAGATTATAAAAATGCTTTTTTTAATTAACATATACTCTTAAAATGTAATTTAGTTATTAATTTTGATGAAATAACAATTACTCGAAAATAATTAAACAAGTCAATTTAATTGAAATAAAATGAATAAATCCAATTACTTACTTATACTTACACATCCATGCTGTAATTATGAAATAAGTAAATGGGAAAATGAATGTTTGTATGTGTGAGAGAGAAAGGGAGAGGCAGGGAAATTTCTAAAATCTTGAAAGTAAAACGGGTAACATCGTTTACATTAAAGGAAATTGGAGGTTTATTATACCAATGGCCAGTCTATGTACAGAAATGTTTTATTCTTAAATTATGCACAAATTGCAATCAATACAAATGTATCTGAAACAAGCAAGTTGGGGGATATCTCAGTTTTTTTGGCTGTCATAAGAATATTCAGATAAAATGACAGCTGTTTTGTTAGGTGTCGATATATTGCATCAACCGCCATGTGTTTTTGCAAAATTCATGAGACACGTCCGATTAGTTGTTGTCATATCCGGAAGAAGAAACAACTGTTTTAAATTGATAACTGATTTTTAATAATGTTGATAATCAATTTAAAACAATTGATCATATCTATTTTATAGCTTAGTATAGTAAAGCTAGTTTATTTGTTCAGACATCCACATTTCGACTAAGTAGTATTATAGTAATAAAGGTATGCGCTAAGTCTGCACTTTAGCTAGATATCATAAAACATGTATCATTCCTTCTCTGGCACATCATACATTGGTATTACTAAGTATACGTTTACTTTCTTTTTAAATCATGCGAAACAATGCAGAAACAAACTCGATATCGAATTCTAAAGTTTGATATAGTATGCTTAGACTGTAGTAAAAGTAAAAAAAAAAAAAAAATTAAAAGAAAAGAAAAAAGAGAGAAAAGAGAAAGAAAAGACTAAATTACGTGAAAAGTGTATTCGGAAATAAAAACCGACTCCTTGTGCACATCTGATCGTGTTAGATTCGAATAAGTCATTTTTGCAATCATCATGATACTATTAATCAACACTCAGCTTTGAAACGTAAAAATCTAGTGTTGTTAAATAACTCTACTAATAATTGTAAATCAAAAACTCAATTTCCTCAAGTAAATAGAAAGGAACATCATTGGGAACACCTTTGAACCAGAATTTCTTAGAGCTGCCGCCTACCATTGTTATAATTAACAACGGAAATCCATACACATTTTCCTGGTATCGCGTCGAGTTGCATCTTAGTTATGTCGCATTCGTTTCAGTTTTCATAATTATCTCCGATATATAGCGTATCAGAATAACGAGACAATAAAGTAATAAAGTATCAAAGCAACTAGATATATATATA